CCGGATTTGCAAGAAACAGCTGCTTAGCCTTTCTTTCTGGAGGCATTGGCAACACGTGCCCAAACCATCGCAGCTGCGACTTCTCAATCTGGAAAACCAGAGTCTGGACGTCCAGTATTGGACAGATAAATCGCATATGCAGAACGCATCTATCCACATTAATCGTTGGTCTCCTGATAAACTCGAATAACAGTAATAATGGCGAGATCAGTCGAAGAATGAAGACGGCATGGATGTATGCCAACGAGATCAAAATATCGCTGCTGGATGATGAACTGTTCAATTCTGCCCTCCTATCCGCCGCTGGATGATTTATGGCACAGAATGCTGGTCTACAAATAACGCTGTGGTGCCTGAGGAAAAGGCGATTGGAAGCAGAATATACAATGTCTCTCTTCTAATCAGGTTCAAAATGCGACAGTTCGGAGTTGGGTACGTGTTTTGGATGTACTCACTGACGCCTACAACTCGAAGCGACGATGGGTTAGCTAAGTGACAGGCTTGAAAAACAGCAGCTGGACGCCCCGAATTACCAGATGGATCCTCATAAGAAAATCGGTCGTCCATCAACATCGTGGGACGATAAAATGACAAGGCTGTTTAATCAGCGACTGAATCAACACTGAGAATAGTTGCGGAAAGCGACTTCCATTGGTGGCGCGGTCGTTGAGGAAAGCAAATCAGAGAGAAAAAGAGGGAAACCAAGAGGGAAGAATTTAACCCAACATCTGTAGTAAACTCTGAAGAAGATTGATGAATTCCGACAAAACTTTTCATCTATAAAATGGCGAAAGTTTATATGAACAAGATGGGTGAAGCAAATGATCGATGCGTGATGGAGCATATCCGATAATGATAAAAAATGGTTCTTCAAAGTTTCCTCGATCTTGCATCCAGGGAACAATCAATCTCCTTCTCGACCCTTTGAGGCAAAAAAAATTATGTTACGATTAAACAAACGAGTTTCCTTACGACACATAATCAGATGAACATAAGGCTACAATAATTACTGCGGAACAGATGTTCAGGTTCAGTGGTCGAAATGAACTTCCACTTGTCCGTCGAGCAACCCGCATGATATTTTAATTAAATCGAAGGACCAATAGCAGAAAACTACAAATCTGTCGATTTCCAAATCATTAAATACGATAATCTGTCTCAACATCTGAGCTGGGGATGCTGTGTTACAGGAAAGAAACAACGAGCAAACAAATATTCCAAGTATCTTGCGGCAGGTGATTCATTAAACTGTATGAAAGCTTTACATATTACACACGAAACAGTGGACTGTGTTTCGTTGAGATGAAAAGAATAGGCGTATGAGTGAAAATCTGGGCTTTGGAACCCATATTGTACCAATGTGCTGCTGTGTTCAATGCGTAAAACGTTTCGTGAGCGAATATGCCATAAATAAATGAATTAAAAGTCTCATATCCTATCGGTTACAATTTGATTAAATCCTCATTTCATGCGATCCTCAGCGGGTCTAGTTGCTTCTAATGCTCCTTCAGAATATGCTTCTTTCAGTTAATGGGAGAGCCATTGTTCTGAGACTATAAACATTAAATTTGTGACATGAGGAAGGGTAGTTTGCCATCTACTGTTTTTGTTGACTTTGCCTGCTTCGAGTTCAAGTAACTCAGGGCAGCAGGTTGCTGACCAATAAATTCTACGAAACGTGAGTGTCGAGTTTTAGACAAAGTCACACAAGTCATGAAAACGGCAATCACAGTTGCGGAAACCTCAGCGGCCCGTGGCGCAGTTTTTGCATAATTAAAGCAATCTGAGCGGTCGCTACCAAAATCAGTTTCTAGAAAATTACTTCCGTTGATTGGATCCAAAGTTCGTTCAACTGCGAGAGGTCACCTCATCAATAGGTACTGCTTCGAAGTATACACTACTTTTCTTTGCCTCTCATTCCTTCTAAGTTACAAATGGTTAATTCGTTTCCTGTTCCCAGCAATTTACTGTCAGACATCATTATCTTCTCTTATAAACTGACTCTCCTCGAAGATACAGTTGTTACTCATCAAATAATGGCTGCCAAAAAGCCCTTAAAATGCGTAGAGTTTTAGGGTAGATGAATGATGCTGAGGTTAGGCCAGATTGACCGTCTTGAGTGATGATGAAAATAACCGTGGCCCATGTCATTCGGCGCATCGATTTAAATAACACTTGAAAATTATAAGCAGACCTGGGTGTTATGACAGATATCATCCTTAATTCAGGGAGATGATCTCTGAAGACGAAGTTGTACGCAAATGAGTCGGATTTTCTGAGTCCTTCTGTCAAAATTCATGAAGGATGCCATTTTCGTTTCAATCCTAAGAATCATCTCCGAATCAGCTCCTGAAAACCAGATCGTTTAGCTCCTAGCTACGGTTTTCCGTTCAGAAGGTAGGAAGAGCAAAATGTGACTATAGATTTTCAGACTTTAATGAGAACGATGGATCTTACTGCTCATTCCAGGTATCAAGTCAGAGTGACCTTCTTTCGAAAAAATTATCTGAAAAGGATTGTCGTATTTCAAACTAGATTATCAGTGTCCCGTTAGTCGATCATTTCAGGATCTATCATAAGTTTTCACCACTAACAGAGTGGTTCAACAGTGCCCATGTCACTGCACTACATCTCATAATGCAGTCAAGCACGTTGGTCGTTGTCTTCCCTCTTTTACCGGGGACACAGCGAGGTGGACCATTTCAAGTATCTTGAAGCTATGCTCACTAATGATAGCGACCTTGATCTTGAAGTGAACCGGAGGAGTATCGACGAATTTTGGCAATCACCTAGATATACGGAATGACCAAATTTAACAACGGATGCGAAGCCAGTCTGAGAACAGCCGCATTCGCGGTGTTCATGTT